CAAAGGAAGCCACTCCCTGTTCAGGCACGTTACTCCCAAGGCAGCGGAATGGAGCCAAGACTGCAGAGGCTAACCTGGCTGGCGCCAGGCCCTGGAGTGACCGTGAAGGGCAGCAGGCATTTCGTGATATACCTAGTCTCCCGTTTTGACTGGCTCGGCCCAAAGATGCTTTCTGAAATATCAAGCAGTTAGCCACTTCCTAACTAGTCCCAGACGAGGGCAGTGTGAGAACTGACCCCTATCTCCATTGACACTTGAATGACCTTCCGCACATCCTGGAGTTTATAATGCCTTGCCTTTTTTTTTTTTTTTTTTCCTAAATCTCTTTTAACTACTCCTGTTTTCCCTTGCACTCTTGGTGCTGACTCGTTACGTCTATAAAGCACTTAGCACAGGGCCTCGCATGTAGAAAGTGCTCAGTAAATATTAGCTCTTGTTGTCGTTGGCGTCATCACCATCACCATCATAACGATTATGATTTTACCAGCAGGTAAGGGAACTTGGTTTCCTTAAGCCGTCAACTCAACTGTGTACCTCAGCTGTCTCCACCCTGATGTAAATGAACACGGGCCACATGGCGGTAACCCACTGTGTTGGAAAGTGCCTTAACAAGATGCCCCTCTGACAGGTGCACGTTAATGCGTGGGGAGCAGAGAGACAGACTTGCATGGAGACCCGTCCTTATGGGCTTGCCAGCTTGGAGATGCTTTGGGACAGGTCTCTGGGGCAGGGGCCGGGAGATGTGCCTTTTACATAATACCATAGGGATGTGTATGATGGGGTGGTTTTGACCATGTTAGGAATCTGATTCTGAAGGCTTGTGTCCCCTGCCTGTGACTTTAACCTGAACACAGCACCTGGTTCCTTTCCACCCTCCCCACCCCCCACGGCCCTTATGGCCATGCAAACCATGTTGCCAAGGAGGGAAATTCCTGTGTTACAAGGCCAGAAAACCTTTGTGTGTCAGGGAACTGACACAAATCATTTTAATGTGGGACATGTAGCAGTGTAAAAATGAGTGATACACTCTTGGTGAGGACTTGAGGACCCCGGTAGGTGTGAGAATGAAGGTGTAACCTTCAGTAATATTCTGTAATGTTGGTTACTGAGACTTTTGCCTGCTCCTAAGAAAACATTCTGAAATATGGAAATAACTTATCCCATGCTGCCTCGGTGACTTGTCTGGACCGGAAGCTAACTTCATATCAAATTAATTTAGTATAGAAGTGAATTAATGACAAGCATTTTCAGCCTTTCATAGCTTTCATCTGTGTTTTGAGGGTAACATAGTCTAGCATTTTGTTAATTTATGATTGTGATTTTTTTTTTCCTCATGTCCTGTACACTTGGCAGCCTGGGGTCCCTCAGGCAGCATAAGATTTGGAAGTGCAGCTATAGATCTTAGTTCCTGAAACAGCTCTCTCTCTTCCTCTTTGCTTCCTCCTCTTCCTGCCACTGGCAGGGAATTTTGCTTGGAGTTCTGGATCTCAGTTCCCTCTCTCATTTATCCAGAGGACTTGATGCCATGGTGTTTAGTAGGTTGGATGGTGGCCCCAAAAAGATATGTTCAGATCCCGGTGCTGTGAATATGACCTTATTTGGAGAAAGGGTCTTTGCAGATGTAAGCTAGTTAAAGATCTTGAGATGAGTTCATCCTGGATTGTGGGCTGGCCCTAAATCCAAAGACAAGTGGCCTTATGAGAAACACAGGGAGGAGCAACAAATGAGGACAAGGCCATGTGAAGACATAGGTAGAGATCAGAGTGACAAAACCACAAACCAGAGACTGCCCAGAAAAACCAGAAGCTGGAAAAGGCAAGGAAGGATTGTCCTCCTGAGTCTTTGTAGAGAGCACAGACCTATGACGCCTTGATTTCGAACTTCCAGCCTCCAGAATATGAGAGGATAAGTTTCTGTTGTTGTAAGTCACCAAGGTTGTGTAACTTGTTACAGCATGATTAGGAAGCTGATACAGTGTCCAGTCCTTGTCTTGATTCAAAAATGCCTCCGAGCTTGTTAAAAATCAGTTTCTGGGGCTTGACCCATGACCTTTCTGAATCTGTGGGTCTCTGGCACCAAGAAACTAAAGTTTTGTTTTGTTTTTTGTTTTGTTTTGTTTTTACATGAGAGCTCGCTTTCATGAGAGCGAGCACTAGAGAGAAAGCATAAGCAGAAGGAGGGGCAGAGGGAGAGGGAGAAGCAGACTCCGCATTGAGCAGGGGGCCCAATGCAGTACTTGATCCCAGGACTTCAGTCTTCCTACCTTGTTAGAAGTGCGAACTCTTCTCTTTGTAGCATTCCAGCTGTTCTCTCTTTAAATCTCAGGCTGAATTCGTAGGTTTTCAGGATGATTTGAAAGTTATCCAGGTAAGTTGGTGGGGACAGGTGACTTGGGGACCCTATTCTTCCCGATCCCAGGACTTCGGGATCATGACCCGAGCTGAAGGCAGTTAAACGACTGAGCCAGCCAGGTGCCCTGAAACTAAAGTTTTAATAAGGGCTTTCAGATGGTTCTGATAAGTCTGTTACCCCTTTGGTAGTGGTATTCCTCAAGTTCCTTCTGTTCATCCACTTTACCTTCCTTGGCCAATATCCCTGCTCATGTTTGCGACCACATCCTGTGTGTCAATGCAGTGCACATCTAATTCTTCAGCCCAGATTCCTTTCAGCAATAAGATCTCTTTTGGATGCCTCTTGATTGAGAGCACCACTTGCATCTCCCACAGGCTCCTCAGGGAGCACAGACTTCATTATTGTCCTCCTAAACCAGCTCTTTGATCTGGTTCCTACCTGCCAGTGGCACACTGAGATAATGAAACTGGGTATTAACCTTCATTCTTCTCCTCTGAATTCCAGTGAGTTGATTCTTTCATCCAAATGGCTTTCAGGTCTTTCTCCCCTGTTCATTCCCCACCACCTTCTCCTTGTCTTCTTTCTAGACTCCCTCCAGACATCCTTCTCACCAAATGGTTCCCAGAAAGATTTGTCTACAAATTTACCAGATGATTCCCGCTGAAAATCTTTTAAATGACTCACTATCGTCCAGGCTGCTCATTAGAATCATCTGGAGATCTTTTTCTTTTCTTTTTTTTTTTTTTTTTAATTGCAATACCTAGTATTCACCCAAGACCAAACAAAACAGAATCTCCAGTTGGAGCCTAGTGTTGGTTCTTTATTCAGTTCCCATAGGTGATGCAGTTTAGGGTTGAGAACTTCTAGACTAGAGGATAAAATCCAAAGTCTTGATAGTATCCCAAACTCCTCAACTATATCCCTGCTAATCTCTCCCTCTCCATCAGACCCTACCCACACCCTGTGCGGCAGCCATACCTACCTCTTGCCATTCCCTAAATGTGTCATTCTATCTCATGCCCGCTTGCCTTTGCTTAGACCTCTGCCTGGAATAGAATGCCCCTTTCTCTCTGGGATTCCAAGAAATGCTCCCTGTCTTTCAATACTTAGTTCCATCTCTCTCTCCTTGACTCGCTTCCCCAAACTCAGTTTAAGGCTGCGTGCTCCAGAGCCCTAGGCCCACTTGCTAGTGCACTTTGATTATCACAGAGGAGCTGTTTGTCTGCATGTCTGTCTCTTCCATTAGACTATGGCATCCAAAAAGTTGCTGAATGAGGGAAGAAATAAAGGAGTAAACAAAGCCAAGGGGATGAAATAGTGTTTTTGCTTCCTAAATTATTGCACCTATGCTACCTTATATCTCATCAGACACTTAAAACAAAACTCTGCTTGGTTTTAATGAATGTAATGAAGCTGTAGAAGTAGCAGTAGTTGTGTGTAATGCCATTAATTGAATGTTTGCTAGCTGCAGTCTCCATAGTTATTGTTTCATTTAACTGACTCAATAACCATCTCAGGCATCATTCCCATTTTACAGAGTGAACTAAACAAAATGCTTGCCATTGGGTAAAGCAAGATGGCAGAGAACACAAAGTGGAATGCATGGATGATAACCTGGTCAGCTGTGTTAATAGCATATAGGCTGGCCAGGAAAAACTGGTTCTGTTGATCAAAATAGCTCTTGGTGAGTAGTCTTTTGAGTGACATGTTCACATTTGGCACCAAATTTGACATAAAACAAACAAAGCCATTAAACAGCACTCAAAAGATGAGATGATGATTTCTATTTATTAACATTTGGGATCACATAAATACAGTCTTCCTGTTCAGCGTGCTAGAAGGAGTGTGTGACCCAGAGTCACAAGATCAGGGTTGAAAACCCAGCTGTGCCAATTACACAATATGTGATGTTAGGATTTTGGCTTAATTTTTTTGAGCCTCAGGGTCTTCATCTCTGAAATGAAAATATTATTTCAGGGCCAACAGGGGTGTTGTGAGAAAAGAAAATGAAATGGTACGTATGAATGTGATTTGGAAATGGTATAGGACTAAATGGGAGTGAGGCTGAGCATCCTTGTCCTTTGTTTGGGTCCAGAAGGTTGGCCTTTGGGAAGTGTTGGGATGGGGAAGGGTGATGTTCTGCGGGGTCAGTGAATATGGGCACTGAAACAGTTACAGGTTGTCTGATTTCCTGGGGGTGTGGTCAGGGTATGTGGATGCTGGGCTATGAGCCCCAGAAAAACGCATGGCATGAGCTAGTTGGGGAGGATGTGAGAATGGAGACGAGTGGTTAGAAAATTAGAGTCCTGTTGTGCTTAATGAAACAACAGAGCTGAGAGAATGTAACTGGACAGGGTTTTACGCCGGTTCACCTCTAAGCCCGGGCTAGCCTAGGGACCACAGGTCAGGTCCACGGAGTTTGACCTCTTGTTCTTTCAAGTAAAAGTTTTCTTTGCTTCAGCTCAGAAGTTTTCTGAATCTCCACGTAAGAGCTCACTTCCCTGAGGTCTCAAGGTCTTGGTTCTTAACCTATTAATCCGGTAACACAGCCAGAGCTGTTCTTCACAGGGTCACTTCCTCATCGTGTGGATTCAACCTCCTTCTTCCTCAGAAATGAAACCAAGCCTTTATCTTTTTTATTCTGATAGATTGAAAAATATTTTCCAAGTCCTGATCTCGAAATACGATCTGTTCGGGTGAAGGGTGTGCATGTGTGAGAAGAATGACCACATTCTGCCACTGTCTGGAGGTGGGCATAGGAAACACCCCTGCCTTTCTGTCACAGACATCGCCCTCCTGAACTTAACCTGTAAGTTTCCAGAGTGTGAATCTGTGTGACATGTTTTTTTTTAAAAAAAAAAAAATCCAGTAGATCTAATATGAGACAGAATTGACGTTCTAAAAATATCCCAGCACACTGGAGATGAGGAACAAAAGGAACGTGATTCAATTTCATCAGAATAAATGAGGGAATTTTTGAGCTAAAAAAATTCTGGCTTGGAAGTTTGGAAGCCAAGGAGGAAGAAGAAAACAAGGGAAGAAAAGAGAACTCCATGCCCCCCAAAAAAGAAAAAAAAACCTGTATATCCTAAATAAAATAAATTACCGAGCGCTGTTTGCTTACTATTTGCACTTGCAAGTGCTCAGATACTCTGATTTAATCTTCCCACACTCTGTGAGGTGCGTAGCCCATTTTATAAATGAGGAGATTGAGGCTTAGGGAGGTCAAGTTCTTCTGTGGTCATGCTGTTAGTAAGCAGGTCCCAGCATCTGCCTGTCGAGCCTGGTACAGTGAAGCATGTGGGACCAGAAGTCTAGCAGCCAGTTTTCTTTTGTTTTAAAGATTGATTTATTCATGAGAGACAGAGAGAGAGAGAGAGGCAGAGACATAGGCAGAGGGAGAAGGAGGCTCCATGCAGGAGCCCGATGCGGGACTTGATCCCAGGACCCAGGGAATAGGACCTGAGCCAAAGGCAGACGCTCAACCATTGAGCCACCCAGGTGCCTAAGCAACCAGTTTTGATCAGACCATGAGCTCTAAGGCAAGTCATTTGACTTCTCCATCCCTCAATCTTCTCACATCCAAAATGAGAGGACCAAATATGATGCTGCTTTGGTCTACAAAACCCTTTGCAGTGGAATACCAGAAGGAATTTAAGATGTTTAGCCCAGGGAGAGGGCCATGCAGAGTAAGCCTTCAAAGGGCTGTCATCCGGGCAGAGGCTACAATTGAGGGCTCCTTCTTTGTTCCTGGTGAGGACTGCTCCTCTGAGGAGGAAATGCCTGTGCTGGGTGGAGCCCTCACCATCCCCTCACCCCCTCCACCTCCCACCCCAATCTGAAGAATCTCTAGAAGCCATTCATGGCAAATTAAGATGAGTAAGAATGCAACGTCCACTAAGAAGCAGGTTCTTTGCTTTTTGTTACCCAGAACACTCAGTGTCCATTTATTTTGGAGCAGTAGCTGCTCATCTGCCCGTTTTTGAGAAAGATTTGGGGCATTGGATTACCAGCTACCCCGACACGAGCATTTCTGTGTGTGGACTCAGCACCATCTTGTGGATGCAGCTCCCTGGACTGGGGATGGGCTGTGGTCATCAAATGGAAAAGAACCTCAAAACGACCCTGAAAAAGCAGCTGCAGAAGCAAAGCTCTGTTTAAGGGATCACATTTTTAAAGGGGCTGTCTAATCTTGGAGCTAGGAACTGCCTTAGGGAATTTACTTTGATGACCCAACCCTGTTGTTAAGCCCGACACCTGGAAGAGCAGGATGGGCAGACACAGCAGCCAGACCTTCCCAGGAGTTCTGTGTCTACCTGGAAGGGTATCAGTGCAGAGGCCTCCTGGAGAGGGAGCCCGAGCTCCTCCCTCCGTGGCCCTGTTCCCTGTATCCTGCATCCAGCCCCACCTCCTCTCCTTCTTGCTGGTATTGATTGCCACTCAGGGCATAACTTCTTTATTGTGTTTAAAGGCCCCCTTCCTTCCCAGTGAAGTGAGGATAGAACAGAATGAAGGGGTGAAGAGAACAGAGCACTCAGGTTGTAAAATGCTTTGCCTTCCCTAACTCTTGTCTACTAACACTGGTGAGGCTGGCCAGTTGGATGTTTTGGCCATTTCTGCGTGTGAAGAGACTGAGTAGTAATAATCTAATCTGCGGCTAGGAGGATGGTCTGAGGCAGTCTTGTGCATCACCTTTACCCAGAATGGAAGGAGCAATGTGTAGACCCAAAGAAGCCACTGATCTCTTCTCTGCTTATTCTTCACAGCTAGGGTGTGTGTGATATCTTTAATGGGCTTGTAGGACCCCCCCCCAAAAAAAAAAAAAAAAACCAGCAGTCACTAATTTTGTATTTGGCTTTTATGTATCCTAATATTAATATCATGATTCATGTACTCATTCCTTCAAAGTAAACGTTTGTTCTTTTAGTTGCATCACTGTACCTACGCCAGCCTATTCTCACAAGACCTTAATATAGGAACTCTTACTGGGTTACCCGCAGTCCCTTATGTTGCTAAATATTTGTTTTTGCACTTCCATGAGTATTTTTTAGCTAACTTCTTTTCTTTTGGGGTCAGCCTGCCTTCCAGCTGCCCAGCCTGTCAGGAGTAGTCTTGCTTAGGCTTGCCAGAAACCCTGGAAGCCTGAGACTCTCCAGGCCACCCATCTTTCCATTCAGCTTCAGAGAAACCCCTGCTTACAAAACGGCCCCTGATTCCAGTAACCTTTCAACCAACAAGTATTAAATTGGTTGCTATTATCAAAATGAGATATGCAAAAGGAAATGAGTTGTAGGTATTGTTTTCTGGAGTTTTCACAGAAAATTAGGGTGAAAAGAGCAATAGAATATGAGATATCTATGTTGTCTCATTAATCTTATAAAGAACTGGGTTATATCCATTTTGTAGATTTAAAAAAAAAAAAACAACAACAACAGGTTTGGGAGTGCCTGGGTTGGTTGGTTAAGCGGTTGGAGCTCAGTTGGTTAAGCGGCCAACACTTGATTTCAGCTTAGGTCATGATCTTGGGGTCCTGGGATTGAGCCCCTTGTAGGGCTCTGTGCTCAGCAGAGGATCTACTTGAGGATTCTCTCTCCCTCTTCCTCTGCCCCTCCCTGCCACTCCTGCTCACTCTCCTGCGTGCTTGCTTGCACTCTCTCTTTCTCAAATAGGTAAATAAACCTTAAAAAAAAGAAAAAAGAAAAATAAAAAAAGAAAAGAAACAAAACCTGTCTGGAGGTGCTAATTAACTTATCCTAGTTCATACAGCTAGTAAGTGGCAGAACTGGAGTTTAAACCCAAGAGTGTGTAAGCAGAGTTTGATCCTCTGAGTCTAAAGACTTAACTGTACAGACAGGACGACTCAATGTACAAGAGAAGGAGAGCTTGAAACTATTGACTACATCTGACAGTTGTCAAAAATTTCCCTCTAGGACTTCAGTAGAAGCCTGAACCAAAATCCCAAATAAGCACATTAAACATGTTAAACCCCAAACCGAACCCACGTTTTTATTTTTTTTGCTGAACAAATCTAATCAATCCATTACACTTGCACATAAACTTAAAAAATTGTAAAATCAATAAACCAAAGTGTTCTCTAAAATAAATCCCACATAACAAATGGACATGTTACTAGATTCCTAGTTTGAAGTAAGGAGGAGGTCCCAAGATGTTCGCCCTCTAAAAGTCCCGTGGTATGAGGGGAAAGGAGCAAACGTGGTCTGCTAGGAGTCTGTCTACAGAAAAGGTAAAGAAGCAGAACATAGGGGAGGCTTTGCTTTTTTGTTTTAGAGAAGGGGATAAGGGACAGAGAGGAGAGGGACAATCTTAAGCAGGCTCCATGCCCAGTGTGGAGCCCAACTCAGGGCTCGATCTCACAGCACTGAGATTCTGACCTGAGCCGAAACCAAGAGTTGGACACCTAACTGACTGAACCACCCAGGCACACCAAGGGAGGCTTTAGGAATGTGAAAGAATGTTGCTACCCAAAACAGGTAACCCAATAAACTGAGGTACCCTAGATTTGCCTTACATAGCATAATTTGAGTGATCTGACATAAAAGGACAAGAACACATCATGGAAATTTATAGATGATTTAAGTATATGTCTTAAATGTTATTTTAGTCTCCTTACTATAAAAAGCCTTTTACCAGAATCGCTAATAAATAGCTAAGTTGAATGATTTTTATTTGAATTTTTGATACTTTTTTTCCACCTGCTAAGAAGAAAACTAACAGACAATGCAACTAAAAAAAGAAAAGAATTTAGACAATACTTGTAACTAAATGCCCACATAGGAGCTAAGGCTCAGATGTAACTGCTCTCTGCATTAGGGTAGAATGATCATCTGATAAACCCTTCTGGGAGGAGTGATGAGGACCTCTGGGCACACAGTGAACTAAAACATTGGTCTCTGCCATTGAGGAATTTCACATTCCCTCTATTTGGGGCCTGGGGCCAAGACTTGTAATATTTGTTCTTACTGACACTTGCAACTAATTATTATTTGGTAATAGTAATATTAATAAAAGCTAACATTTAGTCCGTTTGATTTTGTGCCAGACATATGCCAAGCAACTTATAGGTATTATCATTTAATCCTTGTGTTAACCCTGGTAGATTCTATTTTTAGCTCCATTTCGCAGATGAAGAGGCTGACGTACAAAGAGCTTAAGAAATTTGCCCAAAGGTCACAACCAGAACGTGACAGAGCCAGGGCCATCCGACACCAAAGTTCAGGCTCTCGCCCACTATCCTAGACTGGACGTGGCCTGTCTTACCCTGAATTATCCTTCTGTAGATCTCTGTTTTGTGAACAGACTAATACAGTGCTTTGAGGCCTCTCAGTTCTCCTGATTCAGGAGCTTAATTTAATCTCTGCACCCGCTCAGCTTTTCAAAACCCACTTCTTTTTTCTTTCTTTCTTTCTTTTCTTTTCTTTTTTTTTTTTTTTTAAAGATTTTATTTATTTGAGAGAAAGCACAAGCAGAGGGAGCAGCAGAGGGAGAAGCAAGGTCCCCCGCTGAGCAGGGAGCCTGATGCAGGACTCTATCCCAGCACTCTGCAATCATGACCTGAGCTGAAGGCAGACGCCTAACCTACTGAGCCACCCAGGAACCCCTCAATACCTATTTCCTATGGGAGCCCCTGTGTTGCACTCAGTAATTGGTGAGTGGTAGGCATTTGATAAATAGTACCTTGAAATAGAAGTGGATCAAAAATTAATAATTTGGGGGAACCTGGCTGCCTCACTTGGTAGAATATGCAACTCTTGATCTCAGGGTTGTAAGTTTGAACCCCATGTTGGACATCAACATAACTTAAAATCTTTAAAATAATAATATTTATGAGCACCATATATTACTTTGAAGTTTACTTTTTTTTTTTTTTAGAAAAACAAATTTAAAGTAGAATGTTACGAAGAATTCTGTATTTCCCTAATGTATTCGCCACAGAGCCACCTGGTGGGCCATATGGCATCTTTGTACATTTTAAAGAAAAGGCCCCCTCCATCTGGCAGGAGGATACAGCCCTCACCAGTGCACCTGCCTGGCCAAGGAGAGCATAAGCTGGCTCTCAGCCTCCCTTTTCTCACGGCATAACCTGTCCCCCTGCATGTGGCAGCCCTGCTCAGGTCCAGCCAACAGTTTGCCAAGGACTCACACACTAGTAAGTAGGCTGGGGTCATGAGCATATGAGACTTTGATACCAAGAAAGAGGTGGAAAAGCCGAGTTCTTCTTGTTGCTCATAAATCTGAAATTGGTTTTTGAGTCACACTGCTTGGATCTGAACGCCAGCTATGCTGCCCACTAGTGAAATGATTCTAGTCAAGTCATGCAGCCTCTCTGCATCTCAGTTTTCTCATTTGCAAAATCAGGTTGCCATGAGCTTAATCAAGATGGTGCGTGCAGAGTATGTAGAACAGTACTGGATGCATGGACATGGCTGACATATAAGATGGATTTCCTCCTAACAAATGAGCGAGTCTTACTGAGGACATTGATGCATTTGTGGTGGGATGTCAGTGTCACATGAAAGTAGTCCTTGGGAAGGCTGCCCAGGGGGGCTCTGACACATGCAGGAGACAATAGTGAGCTGTTTCTTCATAGCATAGTTCAAAGTCATGGGCCAGTGCATGTGCGCAGCTTTTTTATACTACACCCACATGTTTACTACTTTGAAATTTTATTTTTTTTTAAAGCTATTTTAAAAGTTTGTTTCCAAGTTAACCCAGCACTCAGGGGCAAAGGCCAAATCCTTTGAGTTTAAACTATTTAAGAACAAAATTCATCTGAGTACATGTTGAAGACTTTATTGGCTTTATTCAGTGATTTGTGAATTGGGCAGCATCCAATCTAGCAGATAAAAAGGAGCACCAAAGAGCTGTGTAAGACAAGAGATTTTATAGGCAGCAGGGAGCAGAAGAAGGAAGTTACACTAGGCAAATGGATTGGTTATTGCAAGGCTGCTTTCCTTATATAGGACAGCAGGGTATCATCGGGCAGATTGCTTATTTAATGCTGATCAGGTGATTCCTGACTGACTGGTTTAAGATTCCATTTCAGGAAGAGCCAAACTAAGTTATGTTTCAGTTTGGTGACGGGCATAGCATAGGTGACTCCATTTTGGGCATTGTCTCTCACAGATCAAGGCATATCAGTAGAGCTTCAAGTATTGCTCTTTTCCTTCACTTGAGCCAAAGCAGAAATAGTAAGTCATTTTTCAGTGTTTTGAAGCCGTGTTTCAATGTTTCAACTTGTTTGAGCAGTGACAGCTTTGTGGGCAGTAGATGGCCCCGGCTTGTCCTATCTAGCCCGGCTTTAGGCTAGCAGTGTTGATCTGGTTACGTGTGTGTGTTTCCTTGTAGCATGTCAGAACAACCTCTTGACTTTTTTATGCTCAACAAACATACTCATCCCTTACCATAGGTGACAAATAGGGCAATTCGTGTTGCCTTAATGCTAGATCCAGAAAGCTTGGTTTCAGTGCCCAGTGTAGTGGGCTTTAGAAGGCTTGGTGTTTGGTTGCTTTTTGTTTTTGTGTTCATTTAATAAAGCTTTATTAGCACCTGTTATGTGACAAGTCCAGAGCTGGGAGCTGGGGATACTGGTGAACAGTCTTAGTCCTTATAAAACTGATACTCTTGTGGTAAAGGTACACATTTGTTGATACTTAATTACAATCATAATGAGTGCTATGAAAGAAGAAAAGTATGCTAAGAATATGTAATGGATGAACCTAATTAAGGGGGAAAGGTTTGTTGGATGGAGATAAGAGTAGGCTGCCACCTGGGCTAGGAGGGTGTTCTAGGATGCAGAAGCAACATGTGCAAAGGCCTGGAGGTAGGAAGATCCTAGGCGTATTCAAGAAATAGAAAGAAGGCTGCCGAGGCAGGGTAGAGTGGCAGGAAATGGGGTTTAGTCGCAGAGGACTTATAAGCCTTGGTGAAGATATTAGAATTTGGATTTAGGGTGTTAATGAGCTTCACTGGCCAGGTCTCAGTTCCGTGTTTATGGGACTCTTTTCTCCATTTGTCACCCACAGTTGGCCCTCCCCTGGAGAGTCTCTTTCCCTGGTGCTCCCCTGAGGCTTCATGCTCACTGCTCTTATGCCATACTCTGACTGACAGATCTCCAGCATGAGCTTCTTGATCTTTGAGCCTGCATCATCCCCAGTCCTATGCTGAGAAGGCAAATCTAAGTACTCATGGGGGAGGGGAGGCAAATGAAAACTCATTTTCCTAATTACACACACTTCAGATTAGCAAATCCTGGCTATGCAGTTCCTTTTGTCTTCTGAGTGCATGGACTGAATTGAATTGGTAATAGACTTTTAAAAGTCAGCCTTTTTTGGGGTGCTTGGGTAGCTTAGTCAGGCATCTGCCTTCAGCTCAGGTCATGATCAACCTTTTTAAATACTAAAATTTTAAGTTGGCAACCTGTGGGTGTAAAGGCCTTGGTGTCAGGTGTGTAACCAATTCTGGGCCATGGAGCAGACCTTAGGACTGACTTAGAGGATGCCTCTGTCCCTCCACTGTCTGCCCGGCTGGCCTTGAGTGCCCAGGCCCAGGGCCATTCTCTACCAATGCTCAGCTTGCCCTGGTGGTGTAAGGGCTGCTTGCCTTAACTCCGATCCCACTCTGACACATTCTCCTTCATGACAGGCAATGCTGTTACTTCTCGGCACGTGACCCCAGCTGGCTGCCCCCGGCAGCTCTAGTTCTTGAATCTCAGCCTGGGTCTGTTCCTGCCACGGGCTTCTCAGTGGTGATCCTATACAGTGAGCCTACCATCTGGACTTGGCACAGGACAGTTCTGCGCTGGGTAGATCAGGTCACCTGCTCTGTCTTCACTCCTGTTGTGAGTGCACAAGCCCGTGAGACAGCAGAGAGTGGGGGGCTGAGCACTGTGCTGCCATCCGAAATTACAGCTCCCCTGTAAGCAAGGCACTATCTGGGCTCAGTTTCCACTTGATACTGTGGACCCAATAATATCAGCTTCCATATATACCCTGCACAGACTCTTCTAATTCTCTTAACCCTGTGAGTATATAGTAATATCTCCATTTTACATGCCTACTGCACAGGATGGTGAGGGGATTGAAAGAATTAATACATGAAGTGCTTTACAACCTAAAATGCATCAGATAAAAGCAACCTTATTCTAAATTGATTAGGGAAATTCAAACAAATTGTCATAGCAATATGTAGGGTGCCTACCCATATCTACTACTGATTTAGAAACATGTATCTATTTACAGTATGGATTGTCTATTTAGTAATTGAATGTCGAGGGTCTACTATGTGTCAGGCACTATTCTAGGTGCTTAAGATACATCAGGGAAGAATATCAAAGATTACTGCCCTTGTGGCACTTAAATTCTAGCAGGCAGATGGATAGTAAGCAAGGAGTAAAATGTGTAATCTGTTGTAATGTTATGGATACTGTGGCAAAGGAAAAAGCAGAGCAGCGTTCAAGGCATCAGGAATGCAGGGGAGAAGGATGCGTTGTTCTTTTAATCAGGGTGAGCATTTGTGTTTTTTGTGCACAACCCACTTAAGTCATTCAGCAACTGTTTCCTGAGTGCCTGTCATGTGCTGTGTCCCATAGATGTAGCAGTGAACAGGATGGACAAGGTCATTTCCCTCCTGGAGCTTCCCTTTTGGTGGGCAGAGTATGGACAATGACCAAGCAAACACATGTGATGACTGCAGGTTGAGATGGGTAGTATGAAGGAAAACTGTCATACTTCAGGCATTGTGAGAGCAAGTGAAAGCAGGATCAAATAGATGGACAGGGTGGTCCCTCCAGTATGACATTTGACCAGGGCCTGAAGCATGCGAGTGAGCCAGCCACAGGCAGTACTGGGATCCGTGTGTTTCAAGGCCCCGGGGCCGCTAGAGACTTGGCAGTTAGAGTAAGCATAGGGAGGCCTGTGTGGTGAGCACAGAGTGGGATGGAAGGGAGCAGGCAAGTCTAGAGACAGTGGACAGGACCTGGGGACCACACCAGGCCTCACAAGCCAGTGAAGCGTCTGGATTTTGCACCGACTTCAGGGAAAGCCACTGAAGGGTTTTCAGCAGGGCTTGACTTGATCTCGTTAATGTCCCATGTATCATATGAAGCATGGACTGTATAAGCAGTTCTCTCGAAAGCCACCAGCTGAATGGGACACGGTCAGTTCTCAAGATGATTCCAGCCCACACTCCCTGAGCCCCACAATGTGCCAAGCACTGCACTTCATGCTGGGTGTGTTGTGTCATTTATTTCTCCCTGCCCGATTCCTGGCCTATCCAGAAAGAACCAGTGTAAACTGTGATTCCTTATCATAAGTAGTCCTCAGAAAGCTGGGGTGCAAAGGGAGCAGGGGGTGGAGAGGGAGGGTGCTGTGGGGAGGTGGGTTTATATAGTGTAATGCCAAAGCAGCAGTTGGTGGACCCGTCCTTACGACTAGCTGGAGGGTCAGCCTTGTTCAGTACCCAAAATATCTGACAGTTCTTCCCTTGGCCTTTCCCGAGAGGAAGCAGTCAACTGAGAGGAGCATGGGCCATTAAATCAGTTGGCCTTTTAAAGGCTCACAATAAAAGTATTTGGTTTTTGAAACCAACTCTTGATGATAAGCTCACCCCAAAATGAAAAGTTTCAGAGGACAAGAGCCCTGTGCTGGT